AAGTCTGACTGTTTACCAACAAACCAACCAGTTAATTAAAGACACTATTTCTTATCTTACATTGTCCCTGTTGTAGCAGTGTGCAACACTTGGGAAACAGTTGTTAAGAAAAAAACAGAACTTTTCAAACTGCTAGCAGCAGGACTGTTTGGATCTCTCTAGGGTTTGAGAAATAGTCCCCTTTGCTGCTTGCACTTACTGTGGGGCTTCATGAAAGGACCTGCTTTCCTCCCGCAAGTCACATAATGGGGTTATGTAAATATGGTCAAAGCCAGAGGATCCCGAGAAGGAGGGGACCTTTACCTCCTCTTCCTTGCTAAGCGTACTTTTCAATTTCTCACTAACATTTGTCTTTGTGTGTTCTACATCTCCTATTCTATACGTCTTTTTGCACCAACAAGACTTGCGTTTTTGCTTTGCCTTCAGTCAGTCTGGCTCCTAATCAATACAGACTAGAGTCAGTGAGCAGCACATGACTTTCTTTTAGTCCCTTCTTGTTGAACTTCCTTGACTTGGCACCTCTTTGAAAATGAAGGAGAGATACTGAACTTTAAAATTCTTAAGGAAAGGGGACCCGCAGATGGCATAATGTTTTTTTCACTGGACTCCCACATGGTCAATTGCTGTTCAAGTCCTAGACTCGGTGGCTTAAAACTTATGGCAGGCGTGTGTGCATGTGTGCCCAAGATCTCAAGAGGGGAATGAAGGAGAAGGGATTATGGCATGACCATCCCCCCCTGGGGGGGGTGTGATTTTTTTACTATTTGTCTCTCTGCCTCTCTCTCTCTATGGTGTACACATACACCCTATAACAAAAATCTCTCTCAAAAAAAAAATTTCTCAAGGAAAAAGTTTCATCCTTTACATTTTTGTAGCTCGGTTGAACCTAGCATTTAAAATAAAGCCTCAATTTGTTCTGATTCAGGTGGTATTAGTTGTGAGAAGTGACAGTCCCCTTACTTGATTTCTACTTTTATTGCCTGCTGACATACAATTGTAGACTCTTTAGACTTTTAGAAGTGGAATATTGCAGTAAATATTCAAGGTGTAAATGTCAAGTTCAGGTTTTTGTTGTCTTTCTTTCTTAAGTGTTGTCCTCAGGTTTAACTTCTTCAGATCAAGTGAGATTCCTAAGGGTTTGATTAATGGGAGAACTCCAAGAGTAACAAAGTTGGGTTCAGTGAGGTTTCATGGCTCTTTTCATTGCAGGGAAAAAAGAAGTATTTCAATTCACAGAAAGGTGCCAAGAGTGAACTTGAGCTTCTCCCATTTGTCAGTGTAGCATTTCACCTCTCTCTGCGGTGTACTTCCAATTTATTAGATGTGCCATGAGTTGAAGGGATTGGAATGGTGGACTTGGAAAAGTGATGGGTGGTGCTTTCACAATTATAGTTTTTGGGTTTAATTTTCATTGAGAATGATTCAATTTGCTGTTTTGAAAAATATCCTTAGTTCACAAAAGGAAAAGAAATCAGTCCCTTGATATTTGTGAAAAACAAATGTAAAGTTCTTCTAGAAGAATTCCCATATAATACATATAAAGTTCAATCATGTGGAACCAGCTCAGAGAATTTGTCATGAAAATACACTTTGGATGTTTGCTTTTCCATGTGAAAGTGTTGCCATCTCCAAACGGGTTATTCAAAATAAAAATTTAAACTACAGATCCAAAATCTTTAAATGTTATTTCTTTTAATTATTTAAACGTTACTTAATCTGGAGTCATTTAAAATTAATGAGCTTGATTTTATTCCATTTTAAATATCTTTTTTTTTCTCTGTGTGTACATCTTTTTATCTTTAGAAAGAATTATGGGAGTTCTCTGGAGTATACATAGCCTTTTTGAAATATATTAAATGACAAAATAGAAGTGAAAATTATTAAAATGCTTTATAAAAGAGTCTAATTTTATTTTAATCTAAGTATCTTCAAACTTGTATATTTGAATTACATATTAAGCTTTCCTGCTTGTTTATAAAATCATTTACAGTACAGGCTCACATTGGCAGTTGGCAGTGTATCTACTTCTTAAAAATTATAGTGAAAGGGGATCAAGGGATGGTGTGGTGGTTAAGGTGCTGAACACTCCCACATGGCCAACTGTGGTTTGAATCCTGGACCTGCTGGCTTGCTTTCTCACTTTCTCTCTCTCTCTCTCTGTCTGTCTGGTCTAATTAAAAATAAATGAATGAATAAATAAAGTTAAATAAATAATCCTTAAAAATTATGGTGAAATATATATGTAATATATGTAATTTATCATCTTAGCCATTTTGTGCATTTATTAGTCTTCAGAGTTTATCATGATCATTATTACTGAACCTATTCATTCAGTGTGTTTGGTAGTGATATATAAAAATTTGATCTCTGAGCCTTTGGAGATATCATCTTAAGAAAACTGGTCAAGAGCAACTACAGACTAAACTTTTCTCTTCCTTTCCACATAGAATGTTTTCAAAGACTGACCACATAATAGGTCATAGAAGAAGCCTATATAAATTTCAAAGTATAGAAACTAAATCTGGTATCTTCTCTGACCACAACCGAACTAAACTTGAGATAAGCTACAGAAAGAGCCCTCGAAAATACATAAAAACATGGAAATTAAACAACCTATTCCTGAAAGACTTTCAAACTATTGAAGAAGTTAAGATTGAAATCAAAAGATTCACTGAAACTAGCGATAACTTGTTTGGGGCTTAGCCATCCTTGGGTAAGGTGCACCATGCTTCAACCAGAAGCTCCTCTCTTTACCATTAGCTGCTTTTGTAGGACCATGACTAATTCTGGGGAGTCCTTTCCTAAACAACTCCCCCTCACACACACACAATTCAAATACTTTCAACCTATATCCATCTCAGGTGTGCCAGAACTAAGAATTTGAGACACTAATTTCAAGCCCTGTAAGCTAAAATACTTCTAGTTCAAAAATAAAGAGCTATAAAAAGCGACTTCGATAATGTTTAATGTTAAGTTGGCACTAAGGACTGCCTTCATTCCTTTCTTTTGTCTTTCCTAATGACTAACCAAATCCTTCACTGGCCTGCTTTCCCACCCCATAGATCTTTCTTAAGCCTATTTCTTTGTTTTATTTTTTTCCATATAATTTACCAGCATCTGAAATTATCTTATGTATTTCTCTAACTTTTTCTTGGGTTTCTCATTACACTAATAGAATTGAAGAGACAGTGATTTTGTGAATCTATCTGCAACTGCATCCCCAAAGCCTAGGATAGTAACTAGAAGATGGTATATGCTCTAAAATGATCTATGTTTTGAATAAACAAATTAGCTTCATGGAGTCCCCACTCTGTGGCACCTTTTAAAAACAATGTAAAAATCAACCTTTGATAGTTAACCATCATGTTTCTGTTTGTTCCTTGATATATTCAAGGAAAACACCGTGGATTTTAATGTTATTTAGTGACAGAACATAATTTAAAGAAATAAACAGACGGGGTTAGTTGATGGCATAGCAGTTACATTGTTAGAGTTCCACAGAGCTGAATGTGGTTCGAGTACTGGACCTGGTGGCGTAAAACTCATGCTGGGCAAATGTGCGTGAATGACCAAGATTCCAGGAGGAGAGAGGAGGAGAAGGAATTGCAGTGTGGCCAACCCCCTGAGGGGGGTGATTTCTTACTTTCCCCTTCACAAAATTTAATCTCAGGAGGAATCTAAGCATGCTCTTTTATCAAACTCTATACTTATTTAGAATGGACATTAGCTCAAAATCACAATTGTGTTTACTCTTTCATTTAACAGTGTACTTATAAGGCAGGATACAAGGCACCAGTGGCCCTGATTTAAATATTGATAAAAGATCTGCCTTTGGCAAATGTAAAACTTCTGTCTTTCCCCTTTGAGCCAGGCCTGGTGGACATAGGTGTGTCTAGAGATGGCAGTTCAGCAGAGATCCAAAATTAAGATAAGTTCATGTAATTAATGTTTGGTTAAAACAAGATTCTTCTTTCCTAGATGTTAGTAAGCCTGTGTTCTGCTGGTATAAAAAGTCCCAACTTCCTATAATCACAACTTTTATAAGGTCAAGAAACCAACTTGGTTGACCTAGTGCAAAGGTTGTCATAATTTTGTCATTTTACAGGATAATTTTAAAAATATGTATATGCTTGCTTGTCTTAGAAAATGTCTTACCTAGGGACCAGCAGTTAGCGTAATGGCTATGTCTCTGGGCTCCCATGTAGTCGACCGTGGTTCGTGTCCCGGACCCAGTGACTTAAACTCATGCCAGGCTCATGTGCGTGCGTGCCCAAGATCCCAAGGGGAGAATGGAGAAGAAGGGATTGCGGCGTGGCCATTTCCCCTGGGGGGTGATTTCTCGCTTTCTGTCTTTGTCTCTCTCTGTCTGTCTGGCGAGCGCACACACCCTATAGCAAAAACCTCTCCAAAGAAAAAAAAAAAGAAAAGAAAAAAAAGAAAATATCTTACCTATTTTTCAAATAATAACCTCTAGGTGAGAAGTGCTTGGTTACATGAGAAAGTATGACTCCATTGTTATTTAGTTTAACTATTGTTGGTTATGTGTAACATATACCATTTGTAGGAAACTATTTTGAAGCTAATAGCTCTAAGATAGATTTATTTACATTATGCCACTTATTTTTCAAAGCAGGCAAACAAAGTACTAATGGACCAATTAGATAAAGATCCCTGTAATAAGTAGTATGGTGATAAAACACATTGATTAATGTAAAGTATTTTTAACAAATTCTTAAAATGAAGTTGGGCCCAAGTGGCAAGCCTCCTGGGGGCAGGTGTTATTCCTGAATGGTGGACGTGCTGTGGGCCCACAGGAGGGGCAGGCAGCAGGCCCATGGTCTCCTGCACAGCCCATAGCTCCATCTGGCCACTGGGCCTGGAGCTCCTTGAAGTAGCGCAGGGCAGAAGAGGGTCCCAGGACTTGCGTGTATGAGGAGGGACAGCACAGGGCTTGCTCGCCATGTCACTTTTTCTAACACGGAGTCTTCCTTTATTTGTAGGTGAGCGTCCCTATCAATGTCCCTACTGTGAAAAAGGCTTCAGTAAAAATGATGGGCTGAAGATGCACATCCGTACTCACACCAGGGTAAGAGAATGTTGTCTCGTTCATATTGGTGATAAAAGCCATACTTAGTTTAAAAGAAATGGATTTAACTTTACATGAGAATGCAACCATGATGCACCTGATATTAGATAATGAGATGTTTGTGTTTATGATGAACATTTAAGGATAATTTTTTTTCAAAGGCCAAACAATGAAGGGAAAAAAAAAAAAAACACAGAAAACAAAAATCTAACCACTCTCCCCCCAAAAAATACCCAGTTTTAAAATTGTGTATCAGTTTTCAGGAGTTATAAATGACAGACTGTCAGATGAATACATTTTTACCTTTTATACAATTTTAAGTTTGTTTATTTATATTTTCCATGAGCGAGATAGAGAAAAGGAAGGCAGCAACCTCAATGGGGTGTTGACATTGTGATCCACTGCCAGCTTCAACTGGCCCTGGATCCCGGGCACACAGATGCCTGCTCTACTCAGAGATGTTTGGGGGCATGAACCGGGAACCATCTTGTGGGTCAGCCTCTCAGAGTATCATGTTTTATCACTACACCATCATCTGGCCTCCTAGATGTTAACATTTTAATACTAGCAAATATGAAGGTATTTTATTTGAGTGTGTGTATTACATGCATATGTTGAAAAACCATCTCATGAAGCTCTATAATGATGAAATGTAAATAAGAAAAAAATTAAAAAAAACTTACAAATAATTTCAAAACTTTTTGCACCAAAATAAACTTGTACTTTAATTACAAAAAAAAAAAAAAAAGAAAAAAAGAATTATTCAGCCAGTAGAAGCACCAACTACTCATTACTCGGCACTAAGCACTTGAGAGTATGAATAAATAAATAGTTGTGAATGAACCCAACGAAAAGGAAATCTGAGGATTTTTGTCTTATAGAACACTCACCAATAATAAGAACATTCTTGAAGAGAGAAGCGAGTCCGTCCGCCCTGGGCATTGAGTCACATTTGATAGGTACAAGCATATGTTGTAAAGCAAGTATGTTTTTGAGTAAGAGGGTGCAGATAGGGAGAGTGGGAAAACCAAGTGGCGCTCACTGCTTACGAGACGCGTCTAGAGCTGTGTTTATTGTTTCCTGAGGACATCCTCTGTTCCTCCCTGTCAGCACTTCTCACTGGGCCAGCGTCTTTCTGAGTATACCCTTTAGATCGAGCATCTGTCTCACGCACTTACAGACAGAATGCGGGCAGCTCACCCTCCATCAGATACATTTCTTAGCTCAACGTTGAGTTGAGGGCATAATCAGACAATCTGAACTTTCCATGTGGAAAGTTGATGCTTTATATAGCTGTTCTTGTTTCCACTCTACCTTTTCCTGTGTTCTCTTTCACATAGTTCTTTTTCAGCCTGGCCTTTCCAAAGTACTTATGGTCCATATATAAATTATGTATTTTTTCATGTGTTAGGAGATATGCCCAAATAATTCCCTTAAGGGCACTTCTAATTTAGAGCGCTCCTGGATTTTACGTTTTACTTTAGCTATCAAATAAAAACTCGAGAGAAAACACATCATAATAACATCCTCCCCGGTATAATAATATTCTAGCCTTCCACTTCAGTCCCGTAGCACAGAAGAGATACTCTCTGAGGTCCTGTGAAGAAAATACTTACCTTTGTTTTCGTGATGTGTGAGAAGTGGTTTCTCCACTCATTAACACAAATCCACAGCAGTCTTCCCATACTCATAGAAATGTTAGGAATTAGTACTTAAAACTACTTCAAGGGGCCAGCAAATGGTGTACTGGTTATGTCACTAGACTCCCATGTAGTTGACCATAGTTCAAGTTCTGGACCTGGTGGCTTAAAATTCATGCCAGGCATGTATGCATGTGTGCTCGAGATCCTGAGAGGAGAATTGAGAAGGGATTGGGCATGGCCATCCCTCCTGGAGAGTGATTTCTCACTTTCTGTCTCTCTGTCTCTGTCTCTCTGGCGAGCGCAAACACCCTATAGCAAAAATCTCTTTAAAAAATAATAATAAATAAAATAAAATAAATAATTATTTAAAAAATAAATTAGTAAGAGGTGTTTCTGTCTGGCTATGTCTTCATTTCCAATGGCTGTGG